CCCCCCCCGCCCCCCTATCCCCCGGCCACTGGCCACTGGCCCTGCCGGGACACGCCCCCAGGTCGCCGCGGCCACCGACGTGGCCTCCCTACTTCACATTGCGCCGCTACACTCGCGGCCCTTCGAGCGCCGGCACCTGCAGCTGATGGAGTTTGTGGACTGCCGGGCCGGAGGCGCCCCGGGCCCGGAGTGTCCGGGGCCGGGCTGCCCCGGCCCGTCCGGGCTCCCCCGGGCGGCCTACCTGCTGGGCCGGCTGCTGTCCTTCGACTTGCTGGTCAACAATTGGGACCGGCTGCCGGTGGGCGGGGCCTGGGCCACGCACACCGGCAACCCGGGCAACATCCTGTGGGCCCCGGCCGGGGCTGCCGCCGGGGCCGCCTGCCCGGCCAGTGTCCTGCCGGTGGCCATCGACTTCGCCATCCAGCCGATCACCTCGCCAGCCGCCCTGGCGGAGTATGTCGACCGGGTCCGGGCCATCATGCGCATGGTCCTGGCGCGATACTGTGCCGAGCTGGCGGAGGATGCCACATCGGCCGCGGCCCTCGGCCGGCTCCGAGCCACGGCCGGGGCCTGGCTCCGGGCGACGTGTCCCGCGGACGAGGCACCCCCGGCCGACCCGACCAACAAGGCCATGGGCGATGTCTTTTGGGCGGCGCGGGCCGAGCTCCGGGAGCACGCGAACATGTGTGCCTCGGCCACCGGGCCCAATCTCGACACCGACATCCTGAACACCCACCTGGCCCGGGGGCTGGCCCAGCATGCCCTCTTTTCGATGGTCCGCCTGGCCCCGGAGATCGGCCTCTGGCAGGAGGCCCGCCGGTCGGAGGCTCCGCCCGAGGGCGGCCAGGACGCCTGGGTGCCCTGGGCCGAGGCCCTGCTGTCGGCCTGCACCCTGCCGGACCCGGGCCCGGGCGACCTCTTGGACGCCTTGCGCCTGCCGCCGGTGAGCCTGGAGGCCATGCTGACGGAGGCCCGGGTGGAGCTTGGCCCGCCGCCGGGCGGGGTTTCGACGCCGGGGAGCCCGGCACGCGGATCCGCGGACGCGGCGCCGTCCGTCCCGCCGGCCCTGCCCCCGAAGGCGGCCCACGAGTCGGGCCTCCTCAGCCGAGGGGCCACCCTGACCGACGGGATTGAGACCATGCGCATGGTGGCCGGCGGGGGGCTGTTCCTGGCCTTGGTGGACACGGCCCGCGCACTGGCCGCCGGCCACGCCTGGCGCCTGGAGTCCCCGCCCCAGTGAGGGCCCATTTGCGGGGGTATGGCCCCCGCCCCTCGGCCTGGCCGCCACCCCGCCAGCATCCTTCTCTCGCCTCCGCTGCTCTCAATGTAGCACAAGCACGCCATGCCGCAAGCGCCGGCCCCCCTCGGGGTCCTTCTTTGGCGGGCGCACGTCTGCGTGCTCTTCCGCCCTTTCTCTCTCTCTCTCTCTCTCTCTCTCTCTCTCTCTCTGGCTCAAAGGGGGGGGGGGGGGGGGGGGGGGGGG